AGAAAAAACAGATGAAAGGAGAGTGCCAACATGAAGCCAGCATTGCCACCAAATATGTGGTGATAAATACTGTCACCAAGAGACTGCTACTGTACCGAGAGCCTGTGGGACAGAAGCAGCTTGATGGTTGCTAAGGCAGGGTTGTGTATCAGGTTGCTTCCTTGTGCCAGGTGTATGATGAAGGAAAAGGAGACCATCATCTTGGCTCAGAAAAGGAATTTTGAATTAAACAGGAAGGTACTGTTTGAAGCTACTTCTGAATTTAACAGTCCTCATACAGGTGCTGTCTATGTCTGACATGTTGCCCCCAGGTTACTGAGAGCAGCTGCTACCATGTTCAGCGGTCGCTCTGTAACTTTTCAAAGCAAGAGAACTGCTTGCGAGGAAGCCTGCCATATGCCAGCTCAGGAGAGGCTACAGATGTTTCTGAGTCAGTGTCCTGGAAGCTGGAGCAGCTGCATGTAGGCATGTCAAATTTTACTGACTGAGCATGAAACTTTTCTGATGCTAACTTTGCACTTTGCCACAGCAGCTAAATCTGACATGTTTGCAGTACACTGCAGCCTGTCTTGCTCAGAGACATCTGCCAATAGATAAGGCTGATTATTGGATTCTAGATGAGGCTGATCCACAGCCTAAGGTACTTTTGGAAGCTAAGACAGTGTGCTATTTAACAAGGCCATATACTAAAAAAGTATTTTCCCAGCATCAGTGTAGTGCTGCAACCTGTTATATGACCTGACATCAATTAAAAGTGTCTTAATGACTGGAAGGCTTTTTCTTGAGAATACCCCAATATTCTTCTAATCATCGTGGCCTAAGTGGAACTTCTCTGTGCTGTACTGTCTAGGGTCTTAGGTAGGTTGTGGGTAATCAGTGGAACTAGAAACAAATTCTAAAATGTACTTGCAGATTATGATCTTAATAATGCCTGAAAGCATTTTTTAAATGAAATTTGAGGTTATTTTAATTGAAAGAATGTTTAAAAACTAATTTACTGTTCATTTACTTTATGCGTTGCATTCCAACTTTTAGGGGAAAAACCATACCACTTAACTCCATTACCCTCTATAGTCTGCTGTACTTTTGGTCATTCTGTCTGAATCAGTGTTTGCATAATATGTGCTGAAAGAAAATGTTAACACTGCCAAGGTAGTACTTTGAAGAGGTGTGTATATTATTGTATGCTTTTCATATTTTTAGCTTGAAACCAAGTTGCGAGTTTAGTTAACTAGTTTGCTACAGTTTCCTAGGTGGCCTTGACCAGTCATCTCACTTGATTCCTTACTGAAACCCACTTCTGAACAAAGTTGTTCTGGGGATAAATACAGTAGAGGTATTGAGAGGTCACTTGGATAGTGAAAGCTGTATGAATATCCAGAAAATAGAAGTGCATTTGAATTTTTTTTTTAATTTTTTTTAAAAATTAATTTTAATGCAGTTTTCTAAATTAATGTTTGGGTTTTCATGGCTTGTACTGTGTATCATTGGAGGAGAAAATTTTCATTAATGTTGCCTGGTATCATTGAAAAGGGGAAGCAGAAAGGGAAGAGTGGGCTAAGTGTTCTTCACAGTATACTTCACAATAGGAGAAATAAATATAGCATATATTTACCTGTTCTTTTTTTTTTTTCTGGCACAAAAATAAAAATTGGGTTTTTTTGAAATCTAGCTAATTGAGGCTACAAGCTTTATTTCTCTCTTCTGCAGTCCTAAGATGGACTGCCACAGGAGATGAGCCCTTTTCTAAGAAGACGAGTGGGAGGATAGAAGGGATGAGGGGAACTGGGAACTATTCAGATCTCATTAATGTTTGGGTTTTCATGGCTTGTACTGTGTATCATTGGAGGAGAAAATTTTCATTAATGTTACCTGGTATCATTGAAAAGGGGAAGCAGAAAGGGAAGAGTGGGCTAAGTGTTCTTCACAGTACACTTCACAATAGGAGAAATAAATATATATTTACCTGTTCTTTTTTTTTTTTCTGGCACAAAAATAAAAATTGGGTTTTTTTGAAATCTAGCTAATTGAGGCTACAAGCTTTATTTCTCTCTTCTGCAGTCCTAAGATGGACTGCCACAGGAGATGAGCCCTTTTCTAAGAAGACGAGTGGGAGGATAGAAGGGATGAGGGGAACTGGGAACTATTCAGATCTCATCAGCCATAGAACTTGACAACTTTGTAAACAGAGCACTAAGAAAACTGGCGCACACCAGTTTTGCACATGTACTGATAAAAGACAAACATTTGACTGTTCATATCTTTGCTGGACCGCAAAATTATAAAGTCCAAGATTTCAAAGGGGTTGAATCCGTCATCTAAATCATATCCTTCAGTTTTGGGAATGTGGTTAATTATGAGTACAGATCTGTTTGAAGTTCTGCCTGGTTTACAGCCTTAAATATTTATTTGCACCTGCTAGGCAGTTAAGTACCTTAAATATTATGTGAACATAAAAAGCACATACATGAAGCTGTAGTTGTTATGGATTATATCTGCAGAATTCCTGGCAAGCATGTAGAACCCATCTTTGAAAAGACTGGAGACTTTAAATTCCTAGGGCAGATTTCTTTATATTGCATTCACCATTTTTATAGCTCTAAAGTAGACCATTCCATGTTACAAAGGAACACTAAGATATGTCCATACATCCAACTATAGCAAAGCAGATCTGATAGAGCTAGAAACTCAAGCTTTGGTAGTTTGGGCCAGTGAGTTGAAGGTATTTAATTCTGACTTTATTTCCTGATGTTTGCTTGGTTTTGATCAGAAACTTCAAAGGTAGTCTGGGAGGGAAAAATTATAATTAAGTTAATTTAAACCTTATATTTAAAGTTTACTAGGATTTGGAAGGTACTGATTCCAAGTGATTTATCAAAACATCCAAATATACATGGTTTGACTGAGTTATAGAACATATCCTATAATACTACTATTAGATCTAAATAGAAAGAGTAAATAGTAGGTATTTAGAAAGAATGTGTTAAGGAATAATGAGATTCAATGAAAAAGTTTATTTAGGCTTAGGAAGAGCAAAATCTCCTAATGGTAGTTAGTCTGGTTCCAGTCCCTGGGGGTAATCATGTAGCTTTGTATAGTCCTACAATTGCATAAATGAAATTGAGTGTAAAACTGAACACATGAAGATATTTTTAGGTGACATAAAATAGAACTGCTAAAGTCTGCATTGTTTTGGCATCAATTCCTAGCAGAAACTGGTAGGCTTGAAATAAAATGGTAGAAAATGTTCTATAGTAAAATATATTTTTAAAAAATATTTTTATCCCCTTTTGCCTACCAGCTTTATTAGCATCAGTATTTCACAGGATGAGCATGCTGTCCAGTGTATGAAGTTGAAGTATGCTTTTCTGGTGTTACTAACTGCAATGATTTGTCTGTCTGCTCCTTAATCTGAATAATCAAGAGTAAAAAACTACATCTCAGCTAAAAAACAAAAATGAAACCTTATTTTTTAAATCCCTGGGTCTAGAGACAGAGGAAGACTGTTTTTAGTGTCCATTTGTAGTTGCTTTCATAGAATTGCTAATTTTCTATGTACTTGAGTGCTTGTTCCTCTTTAGAGGGCAGTAAAGATAATCTTAACATAAAAGAAACTTGAAAATTCTTAGAATGTCCAATAAAATACATCTGAAGTTGTTTATTGTTACTTTATCATTGCGAATTTGAGGCTATAAAATACATACTGGCCAACTCCATCACATAGCTTGTTCCATAGGTGCTTTCTCGGTGCAGGACCTTGGAGAATCCTAAGCCCATTTGTAAGGTTCAGAGATTTTTCCTGTAGCAGATTTGCGTAGGACATTGGAAAAAGTTATATATGCATTGAACATTCATGTACATTGGAGGAAACTGGTGGAAACCTTCCCTTAAGTTGCCCCAGTTGAAGATTTCCTGCAATTTTCCCCCTATTCTTCCACTGAGACCATGTACTGGAGGAGGTCCCCACATTGTGCTTTTCCCACCTACTCCCTTCCCAGTAAGTCCTTTTCAACAATTTGTCGTACTCCTCTTGCCATTTTGCAGTGTGTCTCCAATGCATCAAACCTGACTCCAAAGTACTGCAAAAAAATTTAATAGGATATTCAGATGAGAAGAGGGAATAGCAACTCTTAGTAACTTGATAACTCTAAGAAATAGTGACATAAAAATGAAATAAATTGCTAGTTCTTGATAATCAATTTGTAGAATTCAGTCCCAAACTATTACATATTTTTGGCTGAAGTGTTTCTCTTTGCAGCCTGTCAGTTGTTAGGTGCCCTTTTGCAAATTAATGGTAACAGTTTCTTTAAACAGCTGAATTTGGGATAACTAACCAACCAAAACAATATTCCTTGTATAATAAAATATTGTGTCTCCCTGGTATCCACAGAACCACTAAACTTTTCCAAGTTTAAGAACTGTTAGAACTGGAGCAGATTGAGTTTCTGAAATTCTTAGTGGCTAAGCAACGTTTCATGCCTAGCTGATGGTCATTAACTATCTCTGTTTTATTTGGTAACAGAAATTCTAAGCCTTTGAAGATCAGTGCACTCTCTTCGGCAATTAACTTTGTTCACCTTAGCTATGAACCTTAATATCAAAGTGCTTCTTTGCTGTTTTTGTAACTGAGTAAGTGCCTTTATACTTCACTTGTCCCAGTTTCTGCACTTTCACATGACTGACCTAATTAAAAAACAGACAGCTCAATAATTCTACCATAAGCTAGTAATAATGAAACTGTGGGAGTCCTTGAAGCCCTTTATCATTCAAATACACAGTGGTTTCATGAATAAAGTGGATGACTAAGTATTACTTATAGAAGTAAGGGAGATTATTAGCAGTGGAAGACACATTTGAACTTGCTAAAAGGATGGCTTTTGTCTCTAGAAAGACCTACTCTCAGTAATTATTACACTAGGTCTTCATTTTATCCCAGCATTCTCTTCTTGTTCATGCTTTCACTGACTGAATAGCTTGCTATTGCTTGTTAATCCCTACAGGAATGCGGCTTTGGATATGGGGAGGATGCACAGTGCATGACATGCAGGCCAAACAGATTCAAGGAAGACTGGGGCTTTCAGAAGTGCAAGCCTTGTCTGGATTGTGCATTAGTTAACCGGTTTCAGAAGGCCAACTGTTCTGCCACCAGCAATGCACTATGTGGAGACTGTTTACCAGGGTAAGTCCATTTCTGAAGATGAGACTTGAACAAATTCAAAATTAACATTTGCTTGTTCACAGTTTCCAGATAAATGTTTGTATCCTTTATGTATGTATGAAGGCCCCAAATTCTAATCTTGGCCTTGTATCATCTGAGCACATAACTTCAGAATTGCAGTCTTAATTATCTCATCTATAACAGTGGTTTGATAATTACCTACCTGATCTATGAGAGTCTTGTCTATGCAGTGCCTGAGCAAAGTAGTTCAAAATACTGAGTTTACTGATGACTTACTTCATTGTTATAAAGAATTAAGCATTTGGAAACATACACAGTTACCACCTTGAAGACTGATCACATTTTTTACTTGCTTTTTTTCCCCGCTTTAGGTCAATGTCTAATAATTCTCATGCATATATATTTTTAGGGCAAAAGTTGTGGCTGTGTTTTATGCTCCTGAATTTCCTTCATCATGTTGCTAAATTTGTAGAGCATGATCCCGGCTGAGGATCATAAATGGATCTGAAAGAGTTGTTTTGGAACAAATCAGAACAGTGTGGAGACTCGCTGAAACTGCTGTTACAAATCAAGACCTGTGCTTAGTTTGTTGTGCAGTCATTGCAAATCTCAGTTGCTAATCTTCTCTGTTTTGTAGTACTAAGATCTCCAAAAGGCTATTCTTTACATTGTGGCCAATTTCCATTATTATAAATACCTGCCATGAATTTGTTAAAAGGCATTTCTGATGCTTTTTTGAATTACAAATTGGTAGTTTAATTGATAGGAGAAGGTTATGAGAACTATCTGCAGTGGTAACAGCCTTTGTATTTTCAGGATATATATTTCAGAGATGCTTAAAAGTTCATACATTTGTTTCCTATATATTTCTCAGCCGTTTTATTTATTTTTATATACTTTCCTTTAATACCAGCTATCCAATACCTGAACACTGCTGAAGCTCCTACAGTTACTCCTCTCAAGCCAGAAGTGAGGTCTTTTAATTTAAAAACTCTTAGTAAAACTTTGGTAACTAATGTTAGTTTAAGTCACAGGATAAGAAGGTGCAGCCCCAGATGTTAGATACTACTCACAACTGCTTATGATACTACATGCAGCCACATGGTGGATTGATTTATGCTTTTATTGCATATTAATATATATATATTGTAGAATTTATTTGGCTGTCAGCAGGGAGAAAATTTTCTTCTTGTGGTGTAAACAATATAAGCTAATTTTTGGAATATGAGAAAGGAACAAAAAAGAAGCCAGAATAAAATATGAATTAGGGGTAAATCTAAACTGGGGGGGGGCTGGGAATGCTTCTTAGTATTCTGGTCTAGAATGTATTCTAGATGTGTGTGCTGAGTATGTGTTAAAATGAGAGCTGTTGCCACAAGCCGCTTTTACTGGCAGCAAAGTTGGAAACGTGAGGAGGGAGGGAGTCATGAGTAGGGGAGTTACAGATCACCTGCTCTAGGTGTTTTGCGGAACAGAACTGTAGAACACGTCACCGCTCATACCTTTCCATCAGTTTAGATGCTTCCTGAGCAAATGGAGGATATAGCTAGCCAAGCCAAATGGTTTAGCTAATGTTTTACCTCTCGGCAATCATATTTATTTCTGTTTTACATGGGTTTCCAACATGCCATTCCATATTGTTCAGCTTCAAAACACTACAGTGAGCATGTCACCTAAAACCAAATGTTAACATATTTCATTCAGAGTAAATGATCACAGTGGCCCCTTCAGCCTTACAGCCTGTGAACCTGTTTCTGTTCACACTGTTAAAGCATGAGTTTCTTGAACAGTTGGAAAGCTGTTTGCTTTAGTTGATAGAGTCTCCGTACTTTAATGGCATTTGCAGTGTTAGTAATTTAACATCAGTAGAGTTCATACCTTTTATTTAATGTGCCACTACTGCTGTAGGCAACACTTAATTCACATACTCATCTTGAATAGACCACAACTATTGATTCTAGCTCAGTACTAATGACTGTTTGAAAGACAGACCTAATTGCTTAGGGAGCTGTTGTAAATTGATGTAGATTGGGACTCATGGGGTCACTTCATTAATTTGCATTCACAGTCCATGCACATTGTGATTTTGGTTGGTAGTGAAGATCTTCCTGGACTAGAAGGAAGAGTCAGAGAGGGATTGTTGGTTTGTTAAAATACAGTTCTGAAAAACTCTGCTGTTCTACAAAACAATCAGAGTAATCTTATTTTCTGAAGATTTTGTCACACAGTACGTTAAAACCTGGGGGTGGGACAGGACACGATGACTTCTGTGTAAGTACATACAACTACCTGACAGGAGGCTGTAGCGAGGTGGGGGTCGGCCTCTTCTCCCTGGTAACGAATGATGGGACAAGGGGAAATGGTCTGAAGTTGCGCCAGGGCAGGTTTAGGTTAGACATTAGGAAAAATTTCTTCACAGAAAGGGTTGTCAGGCTCTGGAACGGGTTGCCCAGGGAGGTGGTCGAGTCCCCATCCCTGGAGGTATTTAAAAGACGGCTAGAAGAGGTGCTTAGGGCCATGGTTTAGTGGTGGGATGGCAGGGTTAGGTTAACGGTTGGACTTGCTGATCTTAAAGGTCTTTCCAACCTAAACGATTCCATGATTCTATGATTCTATACATGAACCACTTTGAGCAATGATTTTTTTTTTTTTTCTTCTCTGAGCTAGAGGATATCTTAGGGATTTTAACTAGAAAACATTGACATCTGGTCCATTATATACTTCTAGTGGTGATAACTACCTTGTAATATCTTGCTTCTTTTAAGAAAGTTACGTAGATTAATCAGTCCACTTTTATTTTTTAAATGTGTAAATAAGCTTTCGTAATGTAAGTTAATCATACTTGTCTTATATGTTGTGAGCTATGTGAAAAACAGGATATTGATTTCTGTCAGAAATCTCCAGAATTGCTTATTTCTTATGTTAATATAAGATTATAGCATTTGGACTAACATGTTCAGAATGTTTCCTCAATTTACTTCAGGTCTGCTATAAATGAATATCTAATGTACTTTTGTTTACTTCTATCTTCTATTTCCTAATAGTTTGCATCGGGTCACAGATTGACAAAAGTTTGCAATTAGAGAGGATTTTGTTAAAACACACAATTAAGTTTGTGAGGAAAAATAACTGGGTTTGATTAACTGTTTTTTCATTCCTTTATCTTCTAGATTTTATAGGAAGACTAAGCTTGGAGGCTTTCAAGACATGGAGTGTGTTCCTTGTGGTGATCCTCCTCCTCCCTATGAGCCTCACTGTAAGTGCTCTTTTCCTCCTGTTGGAGTGGGATTAACTTCTTTGCTTTAGAATGTTTTCTGTTCTAACTTGAAAGCTTGGCAAAAAATGACAGTCACAGTTATGAAGAATTCTTTTAAAGGCTCATTTTCTTGTTAGTAAATGATTTTGTTAATAGACTTCAGCAGGTCCAGCACTATCATTGCAAAGTTCTCTCATATGACCAGTCACTTGAGGCTAAACATTCCTGTCATACCACATGATTAGGGAGTCTTGAGTCCACTTCTGACACTGTCATATTAATTTTAAGTTCTGTTTTGTATTAATGTCAAAAGAAAGGCAGCCTTCCTAGACGCTCTGCCTACTATCAGGTAGGCTTCAGTGAGTATGAATTTTTTCCTGACACCCAAAAGGGGTAATTTGTTGATATCTTTAAAAATAACTTCTGTACAAAGGTTACTGTGAGAAACAACAATATAGATGAATATAGTACTGTATACATTAAGAAGGAGATCAGTAATCAGTTTCTCTATTTGTTTTTGGCCAATGAGAGGATTAGAATCTCTTTAGAACGAGAGAACCTCTTTATTCTGCAACAGAAGCCTTTATACTGCTTCTTCCAAGACTAACGATGGTCTACATCCTATCAAGTTTTTAATTCAATAACAGGAGTGATTTATTCTTGTTGCATTTATTGTGGTCTACTTTATAATATGAAAAATAAAATTGATTAAACGTAATCTTGTGGAAAACCTTACTTGCTTGTTTCTATAACTGTACAGTTATGTTTTGGGAATTTCTCCCCTATTCTAAACAGAAACAATTGTTTATAGAAAGAATGAATTGTCAAATTTCTGAAAGGCTTCATGCTACTTTAATAAGGACACGCTGTTTCTTATAAGCATTCTTTCTTTTTTAATTTTGCTAAATTAAGATATAACAAGTATATGCTATTGTGTGTTTTAAATAGTTTTATATTGTATTGAATTTAATGAAATAAGGATTCTTCAGCATTTCATGTATTGCTTAGATAGTAATTTTTTGAATGAGCCAAACTTCCTTGCTTTGCTTCCATTGTAGTTTTAGTGTCCTTTGGGGAATAAACTTACAAAACCAGATTCTCAAGCAGTATCTTTAATAGTAAAAGTTTTTATAAATGTGGCTTCCTGTGCATTTCTCCTATGATTTGAGAGAATTTCATTATATACCTCTGAATAAGAATAATTTAATTTTTATTAAAGGTTGCAACACTGAAAATTAGTAAGTCAGATTTCTATGAAAAAAAATTAAGTCAAATAAGTTACAGTATTTGCAGCAGTAACTCCTGCCCATGCATAGCATAAGCCTAGAAAGTAAAAGTAAAAGATTTTCAACTATTTTCATAGTGTGTACAACATAGTATCTTAAAAGTGCTTAGAGAAAGTATGTGCTTCATAGCAAGCACTGTGGGGTTTGATGCCAAGAATAAAATGCTGATCTTGACTTACTGGAGCAAATACTTCGAAGTCAGTGAGTTGCAGAAGGTAATTCTAGACAGAGTTTGAACCCAAACAGGCAATTTCATATGTACATTTATTTTAATACCCCAGTTGATTAAATTAAGTATCGTCCCCTTCATTTGTTTTTACTCTTTTTATCTACAAAGAAAGTGAAATCTGAAGTGCAACAGTATTATTCTGATCTAGGAACTCCAACTCATAAATTCATTTTATGCAGTTTTTCCTCTCTTCTTGTTTGTTCCCTTTTAAGAAAGCATGCTGTTCAAGCGTGAATTCTGCTCTCTGGCACAATCAAAGACAAAGAAGAAATAAAAATTACCTCCCTTCTCTTTCTGCTTTGACTGTAGTTAGTGACTCGTGTATTTCCATCTTTTCAAAAATCACAAATTTTGCTTTTTTAAAAGATGGTGAAAGAATGGTTACCAAGTCTTCTGAAATAACTCAGAATTCTTTAGTTTACAGTGATTTGCTTTTGTAATTGAGCCTAAGCTTGGATTCTAAATTGAACCATTAGGAACCTACTACTAATTCTAAGTGGGCAACAAACTCACGGAGAAGAGCATTTTCTCTGGCACAAGCTGCAACGGTAAATCCAGATCAGAGCCTTTTTGTGGTCCCTCATCTCATGGCTGTGACAAAGCCTTTGACTGAATAGTAGAAGAGTTAACAATTGCTTGTTTTCATATTTCTCTGGCAAGTTGTGAGAATTGGCAAGTATTTTCAGCTTTTACAGAAGCGATACTAAAAAGTTTGAAATCATTAAAATGTTCTTTATTTAAATGCTAACCAACCATTAAAATCTTAAATAACGGAAATCCTACCATGAAGTATGATTACTGTATGTCACTGGTTTTCAGAAGGCTTTTGTTTGGGATTTGTATACTGGTTCTTCAGCTCTCTAAAATAAGCTGTCTCAGTTTAGAAGAGTGTACATGCCTGCCTCAGAGCAGCCTAGGAAGTTATTCCTACAATAGTAGGTAAATGAACTGAAATATGTTTGAGTTTTACTTAACATCAAATACGTGGAAATATCTCAGTTTTAAGACTAAGTCAAAACCACAATTCTACAAGGAAGTATAAATAACTGTATGTGAAAGCAGAGGTTTTGCACCTAATGCTGAAAATGTTTGCTGTTTATTTCAGTAATGAATATATTTTGATAGTTAAGATGTCTAAGACTGCATTACTGGAAGTTAAATGGAGACAGACCGTTAGGTGTATGGGGCAAGTTCTCAATGATCAGAGGACTAAGTTAATTCTCTGCCTTTCTTATCCTTCTTTCTTTCCACTGTGAAACAGAAAGTCAAATATTAGTGCAGCTAACTCTTATATGACAGATGAAAAGGAAAAGTTTAAATGTCCTGTTTCAATGAATTAATTGTCCTGTGAGGTGTGTGGCAATCTTCTGTTTGCTTAAGAACATTACCATAAGGGCACAAAGGCTCACAGCCCCCTACCTGGACTAAAGGTTCATGTTAAAGCTGAAACGTGGATGAAGTTCTTTCAGCACTAGTAGCAGTTGATTATTACCCGGTTAGCTATAAATCTAAATACTTGCTTTTATCTTCTTTCTTTCTGTAGACATTTTAAAACAGATCTGGTTTAAATATTTACTCATGAAAAAATGAGTTTGTGAATTGCTAGAGGCAAAGTTGAAAGGATTCTATAATGAGCAAGTAAAGAGAGTATTAGAGGCCAGGAGAATTGCTATCACCTTTGTGTAAACTTTAAAGGGGACACAATGACTTATGTGTGTTTTTAGGATGTCAGAAAATTTAAGTACACAATGATATAGTTATATTTTAATTTGCTTAGTTCAGGTAAATAAACTGTAAATACCAATCCTATATACAGAGTCAGCATCTAAACATGGGATTAGAAATGAAAGCATGTTTTTAAAATTACTGTTATGTTCACTTTGTAAACTGAAGACACTTTTCTCATCTGAAGTCACTTTTTTCACAACTGAATGACAGAAAAGCGGTCCTTTGAACTGGGAAGTAAAGTGAAAACCCAATCAATCAAATATGTAATTTCTGAAATGGAAGGTAGCATAGACTGTCCCAAAGTGGTGTCTGTCCAGCAGAGAAACAGTGCTGTAGATACAGTTTGATGATTCTTTTTTCTCAACACCGGTTTAGGCTTGCAGAGGTCACTCTCCTGCCTGCTCAGGCGAGTGTTATGCTGCCCCAATGGTTATGCTTAAACTGTTAATGAAACTCTTCAGTAAGCTAGATTGTGAATCTGTCCAGGATATAAAAGGAATTTAAAAAACACCATTCTTAAGGTTATTTTTAAATCTAATGAGTCTGTTAACCCCGAAACACTTCTGGTAGCACAAATGAAGGAGAGATGTGAGAAAGACTGGGGTAAGGAGCATGTTTTCCAAAGATAGCATTGCTTTATTTGAGCAAGCATTGTTTTCAGCTAGTCTGTCTTACCAAATAAACAACAACATTAGAAACCATACTGCTTATCCTTTGGTTATAAGAAGATGGCAGATTAAAATTAAAGCAGTGGAATTATTTTATCAGCTTGGCTATGTCAGCTATTCCTACAAGTGGTTCCTGTCGTGTTGTTCACTTCAAAATGCAGAACAGCATCAGAGTCACCAGAATCTTTTAGCCTTTCTACTAAGCAGAAGAACTTTTTAACATTGAAATTTTTTGAGCTGTATTAAAAAATAGTTCCTAGCACTTCCACATTACTGTTCCTTTCTGGACCAATCGCAGTCAGTGGTATTCCCCTCTTATGTGCAAATTCAGTCTAGACTTTAACTGTACAAACAGTTAAATTGGAATTAATTGTGAGAGTGAAGGAAGAGAGGAAATGAACACCTAGGCACCAAGAGCATTTTACAGCCAAACCGCCACCAAAGGAACAGCTTTGTCTTTTTTTTTTTTTTTTTTTAATTTTTTTTTTGTAATTATCTGCACTATTACTCTTTTAACAAATAATTTTTTACACACTAAAAAATCGTACAGTATGTCCAGCCAAACTCATTCTTCCTTCTCCAGGGCTACTTCTGCTTGTCTTCATGACATAAAGCAAGGAACATGGGAAGCTGGGGAGGGGGGGTACGAAAGGAGAGGGGCGGGATACCATTCTGTGTGGAGCTTGGGAAACTAGCCTCTACATGTTCCAGGAAATAAATGCATTCTTTGCTTCAATGAAGCAGAAATGTTTTGTTGAATAAGTCACAGCAGTGGAAGTATCTACAGTTTGATTGTAACATCATGTGCATTTGAAATAAACCTGCGCTTGGGTCCAAAATTGCTACTTTTTTTGCCATGAGCCATGTTTAGAGATATTGATTTCAGTGATAGTGGTTTCAGATATAAAGAATATCTTGAACTAGAAAATAAACAGTTTTTACTAAGTTGAGGAATAAAAGTAAAGACTACGGCTTGTTGAGACAAAATACATATAGCAGATCACAGTGAAAACGTTACATTTTCATGTGAGGTATCCATATCTTAGCTGCTTTAAACTTTGTTTCTTTAAGGAACTTCTACAACACTGA